TAGAGAAACAATATTTGTTACTTATAGTGTTGAAGGCTGGGAAACCCAAAGTTCAGAGAACACATCTGGTGAGGTGACTCTACACCAGTGCAATGTGACTCATGGTGAGAATGGCAGAGCAGAGAGAAAACTAACCTCCTCACTTGCTCTCATTTTAAAGCTCTTAGAACCAGGACCGTGACCACCATTAAACCATCAGTGAATTAATCCATTTATTAGGGAATGGTCTCACAATCTAATCACCTCTTCAAGCCCCCACCATAATAGTATTTCCCACCCTTTTAACACTTTCGCAGTGGGGGTTAAGTCTTTTAATACATGGACAATGGGGGACACAGTTCAATCCATGCCATTCAGCCCCTGAACCCCAAAGTTCATGTCCTTCTCACAGGTAAATACATTCATTCTATCCCATAAATCTTGTTTCACTTCAATGGTCCAAAGTCTCAAGGTCCCATCTGTGAAATCAAACAAGTTATCTGATTCTAAAATACAGTTATGGGACAAGCATAGGGTACATATTCCCATTCAGAAATGGAGAATTACACCAAAAGAAGGGTGTGACAGGTCCCAGACAAGTGCAAAGTCCAGCTGGGCAGGCATTACATCTCAAAGCTGGCGAGTCACGTACTTTGACTCCATGTTGGGCATTCTCTGCACACTGGTGCAGGGGTAGGTTCTAAACTCCTCAGGCAGCTCCTATGGCTTTCCTGGTCTTAGTCCATGCTTCAGCTTTCCCAGGCTGGTGTTGCATGCTGGCAGCTCCACAATTCTGGGATCTCCATGGTAGTCCTGCCCCCACAGATCCACTAGACATGGCATGGGTGGGGTTTTCTGCTGCAACTCTGACCCCAATTTCCTCTTGCTCTAGTGAAAGCTGTCTGTGGTGACTCTGACCCTGTGACAGATCTCTTCCTGGGTCCCTGGGCTTTTACATACATCCTTTGAAATTGGGATGGAAGCTCCCAAGCCTCCACAGCTCTGGCATTCTGCGAGACTGCAGACCCAACACCGCATGGACACCACCAAGGCTGCTGGCTTGTATCTTCCAAAGCTGTGGGTCCAGCCACACCTGGAGCTAATTTAACTACAGCTGGAGTAGCATCCCAAGGTGGCCCTAGCCATTGTGCCTGTGGAGGGCAGCTCAGGCCTCTTCAATGAGACTATTCTGCCTTTGTAGGCCTCTGGGTCTGTGATCTCTCCAAGATCTCTGAAATGTCTTTCTTGGCTTACATCTTAAAGTCCATGTCTTTCAATGTTTCTGTATCCTTGTTTTTTACGCATCTCTTGAAAACCTGATTTGGTAATCTCTTTCTTAGTAAGTAACTTTGATGCATTTACATTTAATGTCAGTACTGATAGATTTCTAATTGTCTATAATTTTACTTTCTGCTTTCTAGTCATACAACTGGCATAGTCACATAGCTTTACAATTGGCTATGTCAGCAGGATTCCGACAATAACCCCAACCAGACAATTAGCATAGCAATTGCACTTAACCCTACAATTGGCTATGTCAGCAGGATTCTGACAATGGCCCTAACCCAACAAATGTATATAATCTAGTTCTGTTTTTCTGATTGAATCCTGACCAACACACCTGTTCCCCAGAATCCACTGTTTTATTCATCATTACTTTATTAGTGGCTTGGGCAGAGTTTCTGGTGGACAGTAGAACATCCAGAATCCTATTCAATAGAATTCTCCATCTTACAAAATAGTTCTGTACTTCAGAGAATCCAAAGTAAGTTAAATACCCCACCCGTCTTTAGTGACGAAGCATCACTAACATCCAGCAACAACAACAAAGTAAACCACAGCACAGGGAGGAGAAAGCTGTCCCATCCAGAAGGAGACAGAGGGAAGATGGAAGAATGAGGGCAGAGGGACAACATGGCAGAAGTGAGCTCTCAACAGAAGCCAGGACAGGCAATGCACAGTGGATCCTGAGTGGAGAAGAGCAGGAGCTAGAACTCCTGTGGAGTTTCAGGAGCAGAAGAGCTTTGCAAGCAGCCCTGTGATGTACTGTGGCTCCTGAAAGACACTGGTGCTGTTGCTGGACTCTGGTAGATGCCCATCCACACCACCCATACATGCGGAGCAGGTGGGGTTAGAGTTTGGAAACATATACCCCATCCTCCTGTCTGTCCCGGTGCTAGTGATTCAAAGTATTTCTCAGAACATAAAAAAACTATTAGAGGTGATATTTCAAGGAATGTTGATTTGTCACCTAGGCAACCTACAAGTGACTTTCAGTCTCCCGATGTTCAGCATAGAGTTCAATGTTCTAGATGCTTGGAGTTCTGTTAGAAGCCAAATACAAGTACAAAGGAGGGATTGGAGGAAACCATCTGAAAGGATGTCCTCACAGTCTCCATTGATCTTCACTTTGGAATAAGCCCTCAAGTCTTGAAATGTTGAGAAAACATGACTAGTGAGGAAAGTATGAGAACAAGCCTTCCAGAAGGTGCCTCTGACCTGTGGAGTTATGATGCTGACAATCAAGAGAGTTACTCAGGAGGTCATAATCTAGAAAGTGAGAGAAACTTTAATAGGAAGACTTCTTCCACCCCACACTCACTGGTTACTTTTGCCATTAGTCCTTTGTGCCCAGGAGGTCACCTTTTTTTTTTACTAACAGGTAGTGACCTAGGAGCAAGCTATCATCTTGAACTTTTGCAGAAAATATTTTTTCTAGAGTCATAATTCTTTATTGTAAACATCCCACTTCTGCATTTTACATCTCTGTGACACGT